TCGAAAAGGTGCACAGATCAGCAAGAGTGGGGTGATGTGAAGCACCTCCTTTGCAGGCTTGAGAGCCAAGTCTGAACAGAGATACTGTGTCCATGACCAGCCCCTAACCTCAGCTGGGACAGATTCTCAGAACTACACCCAGGATATAGGGTGTGCACCTTCCCAGGCATGTGGTGTCATGGAAACTCTGCCTCTTTATTAGGCTGGTGGAATCACACATTCTGTGCTTCAGTTCTGGATTGTGCAATGAGGGGCTTGGGCGAAGTGATCTCTAAGATATTCTGTACCTTACGTACTGTGGAGGAACTTACTTCTCTTTCTAGTCTCTTTGTTCCCTCCATTTTTCCCTCCCGATGTCTGCTCAGGAGTTGGTGTGTTGTCCCAGCTGTGGTTGTTGAGGACAGAGGCCCACATGCAGAGGAAAGGGCTGGCCACCCCAAACCACCATCAGCTTCCCTCCCTCCTAGCCACCTCTTCCCTCCTCCAACACAATACTGGACAAATATTTTAGAAGTCAACAAAGAAGTTCAACTCTGAATGATATTCCCCCTTTCTCCCACCTCAGGCAGTTACTCAAACCAGCTTGATTCTTAGTTTCACACTTGGAAAGGGACCAGCATCTTCCCTCTTGTGCCCTGTTCAGGGAACAAACCTGCTCAATTCTAGCTGAGGATTTGTGTCCTTACCAGGTTCCAGACATAATGATGTAAGTGTGCAGGTGAGTGATGTGAATGTTCTTTTCAAAAGGTCTTCATAATGACACTGTCAATCATACTTAGATGTTTAGAAATTAAACCTGAAATGATAAAGAGGAAGACAGAAAGGCCTCCTAAAAGAATGTTGAATATTTGAGAGAATTTCCCTGGCAGTGTTTTCCAGATCATCCCATTTTATCCTGCCTCCACTAGGGATGGACTGGGGCTCATCATGTCAGTGACGAGCACACAGTGCTGATAAGACCAGGCCAATGGGTCCCTGCTCATTGAGGGCCACGGTCAGGGCACTTTCAGTGAAAGCTATTTCTAGACGAATAACTTGTCAAAGAATGTATTTTTTAAATTAAAACATGAGTCATTCAAATATGAAATGAACACGTTAAGGATTTTATTCGACTCATACTTAATCAATAATATGGCAAAAGTTGGTCCAAAGACCATTTGAGGAATTGGATATTTCGAGCCAGCTTAATATAGGACTGTTTGGATAAGATTTTTTTTGGCCATGCTGTGTGGCTTGTGGGATCTTAATTACCTAACCAGGGATTGAACCTGTGCCCCCTGCATTGAAAGCATAGTGTCTTAACCACTGGACCACCAGGGAAGTCCCTAGAATGTTGGGATAAGATTACTGGCTTATATGCAATAGTGGTTAATGTCCCACAGGGCAATGAGCTGCATGCTTGAGATTATTTTTCTTTTATACTTGACAGAAATTATTTGCAGTTTTACTAGACAAAAATCTACAAGTTAAACATGCAAGTTCACTAAGTCTGAGAGCTTCAAGCAATAATAAACAATAGTGAAATAAAGTATATATGCTCCAATCAGTAATGAATCCTTGGTTGCACAAGTGTTTCCATATGACCCTGAAAGGACAGGTTGCCACCTTTTACGCCTTGTTTAGAAATTTTAAATATTTTTAAAAATGGTTTCCATCTAACATAACAAACAGATACTATTTTTATGTCCAAGGAGCCAGGAGAGAGTGTGGATGACACAGTGGAATCCACCCCATGCTGGGGGAGGAAGCTGCTGGTTTGATGCCCATGAGTGTGGAGCATCCTTAAATAACAGCCTAATTACTTTTTTCTAAAATCTCTTTTTGTAACTCAATCACAGGCTGCTTAAAAAAACATAATCGAGGCACACTGGTTAAAGCCTGCCCTCGTTTCCCTTTATGTGAACCCTTTATGTGTTCTCAACAGGGCCTGCATTAGTTGATGGCTTCTTTACAACCAATTCTTACTCTCCATGATTCTGCTCATTATAAGAGGATGTTGGCTAATTCTTTACTAGAAAGGGATTCCCTTGAGGCTGAAGTGTCCAATAAGGATGCCTTTGGACCACACTCCTAAAGTCACTCCAGAAATGCCTGTTGACCTTGGAGATTTCACGGTGGTTGAGCAGTGGAAGGGTGTGTGAGGCCCTTGCAACCCTTTGCATCCTCCAGGACCTAGCTTAAAATGAATGCTTGAGCTGGTAGTGTGTTTCTCCTTCTGTCTCAATACAAGTGTGCACTTCACCATTTGTGTGACAAAAGCACAATGGTGGGCACCCTGCCAGCTGACAGGCGCAGGACTTTCAGTCTAAGTTTCTTGGAAAACAACAAAAGAAGGTCTGCAATAGGAGAGCTCAGGGAGCCATGCTGTGGGCTGGGGGAAGGTTGCTGAGAAATTAGCAAATCTTTCTGCCTCTGAGCAGTGCAGAGCAAAACACATCTCCTTTAATGACTGTCTCCCCTTTTGTGATCAGCTCATGTGATTGGCTTGCATCCTTTGTGAGGAAGAATCCCTGCTGGTTCCCAAGGGTCAAGGAGACTTGGCTGCTAAACAGTAGGAGCCAGAATTGTAGAGGAAAAAAATATATAGTTACATAAAGACATTTGTAAATGTGGCCCCATGAGGCATTTATACAAGTTTAAACTATATGAGGCAACTTAAAGAACGAGAAGAAAGTATGTACACAGAGGTAAGAGGAAATTAATTCATGAAGGCATTGGAAGAAAAAATTTTGAGCAGGAACTTGGGGAAAGAGATTAGCAGAGAGAAGAGGTGGGTAGGATGCTGGGAGAAAATGCATGGTGGGGGAAGGTAACCACCATTGGTGCTTGGCTGGTAGAGATAGGGGCCAAGAATAAACAGAAAGAAGACTGGAAAAGCTAGAACGAGCAGTGTGAGGTAGTGAGAAAGAGGATACAAGTTCCTGCATGGACTCTGAATGTGAGGGAAATCTTTATATATTTTCAAACTCAGTATAGAAGGGGACATCCCCTCTCCCCTACACTTACATCTGTTCTCACAAGTTTATCTTAATCTGTTCTTATTGCTGTTTCTTCTGCTGTCTTCCCTTTTTTTTTTTTTCAGAATTAACCGATCTACTTGTAAGTTTGGCGTGACTTTTCATTCCATCTTTCCATGTTGTATGTGAGAATGGCCTTTACTCTGGAGGTGTTCTCAGGCTCCCCCATCCATGAGTCCTCTTAGACAACCTCATCGTAAGGCTGATATACACCAAGGAGAACTGGCCAAAGTGACCCAATGGAATAGCTGTAAAGATGAGTTCCTCACTGATCAAAGGCAGTGGAGTTCAGTTCAGTTCACTTGCTCGGTCATGTCTGACTCTTTGCAACGCCATGGACTGCAGCACGCCAGGTTTCCCTGTCCATCACCAACTCCTGGAGCTTGCTCAAACAAATGCAGCTGAGGGTCCTTCCCTTTTCACTTGCAGCTCCCCAGGAGCCCAGAGCTCACCCTCTTTTGAAAACAGGCATGTATGCATTTCTTGAGGTTTTGGAATGAGGTGCCCATGTGCAGCTGGTAGAACAGGGATCAGGGTCCTGTCCATGTCAGAGGATGTACCGGAAGTGCAGGAAGTGGCTCGTGGGGGTCTCCCTGCCACGTCCCAGCTGTGCTGCGTCCAGAAGTCACAGAAGTGAACTCTGTCTGCTGCCTTTGCATTCCTGCTGTGACATTCTCACCTCTCCCCAGGTGGTGTGTTGGGTAAGACCAATAAAAAACTCAGGATTAACCTTTCCAAATAGTCCCTCAAACAACCTCCATTTTTCTTCCCATCCTGAATCACTTCAGGTCCTTTGAACGTCCAATTGACTCTTGGCTGCCCACTGGGACAATGTTCCACTTCTTTCTGTGGAATAAAAGGTCTTTGCAATTTGGTCCCATCTATTTTTGTTTCCAGGACTGCCTTCCACTGGTGATATTCATAAACTCTCATGGCAAGCCCATAACCTATTCCTGCCCCATACATGCTAACAGCCTCCCTTCACTCAGTGTCTTTACCCTTCCCTTTGTCTCCATCATTTCCCTGATCCTGTTCTTTATTCAGTGTCAATTTTATGTTAAACCTGTCCCTGGGCCCTCCTCTGTCTCCCCAACCCCCCGGGACTGGGACCCACCATTTAAGCTCACTACTCAGCTCCCTTTGCTGTCCTGGGATGTCTCTATGGGATGCATGCACCAGCCTGACTCAATACGGAGCATCGCCATCAGGTTGGGGCCCCAAAGTTCACTGTTTTCACCTCCAGCCACTAACCCAGAGCTCCAGCACCTGCACAGGCCCTCCCTAAACATCAGGCATTTCTTTCTGGGAGTTCTCCACGGGCTTGAATTCCCCTGTACCACAGCTCTGACTTGTCCCCTAGGAACAACGTCAGCCTAATAGCCGATTAGGCTGGCACCTAGGTCCATTGTACTTCATTCCCACTAACACCAAAGTGGCACCGTGGCATATGGCCAAACGGGGTAGGGTGGGATAGTCATTGTGTCTTCTCTTTTTCAGCTTTGCTCCATTAGAGGAGTCCCAGCACAACACCCTGCTGCATTTCCAAGTTGTATGTGAACAACTCTTGCAGGTTTTACTCAGCCAAGTTCCAAGATTATTTTTCTTACTGTCCTTATCCCTGTGGAGGTTAAGAGTTAAGCACCAGAGTTAAGAGTTGAGCCTCAGGCCTTTCCTGATCCTTAGTGGATATTCCTGCCCAGTCTCTGTATGTTTTGCTATGATGGTGAAGAGAAAGGGGCAGGCAAGGCCATCCTGCCTCCCTGGAGCCCCAGAGATCCTGGGCAGCCAGCTGGAGCGTCTTCTCCCTGCTCTGAGCTTCTGTAGTTTGCAGTCCCTACAAAACTCCCAGATACCTTTACCCTACTTCTAGGACCTTAGTGGGGGCACTTTCCATGGAAATTCAATTCAGGCAGGATGTGACAGAGACTTCCTCGTTTTGTTCTGTCTATCTTGGTTTTTATAACAAAGGGCAGAGCAAGCAGCATGTATCTTAATATGGAAGGTGGGTGGATAATTCTGTCACAGAAGAGCTGGTCCCTTCTACTGCGCTGCCAGCTCGTGTCTAGGGGACCTTAGCATCTGGAGCCAGGATACTTCGCGATTGTCTCCCTTGCAGGGAACTTGAGATCACCTGTCATTTTGGACCGTTTGCTGCTACCTGCCAGGTATGTGACTCAATCTTGTCTAAACCTCCACCTTTCAGAAATGGGGCCCAGAAAATGAGGGCTGAGGAGATAGCACAGCATGGGTTAGTACCGTCTTATCAGCTGAACCTGGCTGCAGGATAAGGATGTCAGTGTGACCGAGGGGAGATGCCTGTTCTGGCAGCTCCACCTGAAGAGGAAGGATTCAGACACATCCCATTTTTCCCTCAAGTCATATGAAGCCTCACTGAAGATCTCTCCTTGAGGAAATTCATCTCCCTTAGAGACCAGGGGTGTAAATACTCTTGTGGACCTATTGAAATAAAGCCAAAGCAATCCAGGGAGCACTAATTAGCAGTTTGCAGAGGGCAAAGCATTGCCGTGGGTGCTGTAAGAGGAGAGGGTGCAAGAGTGCAAAAGTCCTACCCCTGGGGGCTTAAAGCTTAGGACACAGGGAATGAGAGAGGGGCAAAGCACACACAGCCCAAGCCTACAAAAGCAGCAAAAGCAAAATAAAATAATGTTTAAGGAGACACTCAAGGGTTGAAGGACTGCAAATCAAGAAAACATTAATGTTGTTCAGGAGTTGGAGATGCAGGAGGAGAAAACTGGAATGAAGCTGGAGTGTGGCCAGGTAAAAAATGAGAAGGAACAAAGAAAGAAGAGGGAGGATAAACTTGGGAGGAGGGTAGCAGCATTTCAGCAGCACTTCTTTGGCATTGGTGTGCATGACCCTTATATCTCCCTGTGTCTTCAGAGGCTCCCTGGAGAGTGGGGAGCGTGTTCCCCACCAGCAGAGCTTAACTCTAACTTAGGACCCCCTTTATAGCCATCCTTCCCCTCCCTGGGTCTGCCATCTTCCTCAAATCTGCAACCTGTCCAGTCTGTCACCTTTCCCCAGCAAAACCTCCCCATCAGAAAAGGAAGCTGAAATCCATTTCCACTGTGATGTGAATAGCTGCGATCAGAAGGGGTGTCCCCTCAGAGGGGTAAGGATCAGAGCATTTCAACTGCTGAGGGAGGTTGTAAAAGGCAAACTTCTGGCAGCAAATGGGGAGGAGCATGCTGTTTAGAACAGGAAGGGAGCATTCAGCCCCTCTGATTTCCCTTCAAGAATTCACCAGACAGCCCCCCCTCCAATTAAAGGCATTAAGATCAGCTCCTTGGGTGTTGGAAGCAAAGGTACTATGGGGCATGACCTCCTGCTGGAGAAGATGCTGTTGACAAGGTCTGAGGGAAACACTCGTTTTAAGCTGTTTTATCAGAAGTGGTTTTGTTTGTATTCATTTATTGGTTGGTTAGTCTTGCGGCTGACATCTGGGACTCAAACCACTTCTTCAATTGCCGTGAGATGCTATCAGGGTGAGTGCTGCAGTCTGTGACTAGATGATCCCTAACAGGGGTCGTGACTTGGGGGATAGGAGAACTGAGGTGCACTCAGCCTTGACACGACCCTGCTGATGAGGAAGCTTCGTCCAGAGAAGTGCAGAGCTTAGGAGGAACTCCCCCAGCTCCACCACTTTCCAGTCATGTGTGCGGGGCAAGTCACTTAGCCTCCCTTTGCTTCAGTTTCCTTGTCTGTACCTTGGTCCTATAATAAGAGTAATAATACTTCTGATATAGGAAAGTCCTGGGTAGATAGTAAGCACTCAGTTCATATTAGTTTTTATTATTGTGGACACATGCATGTATGTATGTGTGTTTGTGACCTCTTCTATCTGCAACCTCAGTGACTAAAATCACAAGAGTGTATCACAACAGAGAACTGCAGTCCTGATAGTAATTCCAGGGTCTGGAATGCATGGACTGACTGATAGATGGCAGCTTCCTCCTTCCCCAGGAATATGGGACCTTGAATACTGATCCTGCTGTGAGGTGCCCCTTCCCCCAGCTGTGGGCCTATCTAATGCCCTGTTGCGGCCTTGGGAACATCCAAGTTGTTCCTAGCCAAGTCTTGACTAATTCCTCAGAGTCTGGCCAGTCCGTATGGATCCATAAACACCCTCTGAGCCCCTCTAGTTTTGGAAGGCATTAACTGGTGCTGATGTATTCTTAGAGCTTCACATTCATAGGGCTCTATGGCCTTTGCTTCCAGTTGGTGGGCCTGTTGTAGACACATTCCTGCTGTTAGCCAAAAGGGTGAAAGGCTAGACTGCCCAGCCTGAGCCTGGACTCTGTCCCAGGGCGTCTGTTCTGCTGGTTATTGTGTGATCATATTCCAATAGCTGCTGGCTATCAAAGCAGCCAGGCCCCCTTGAAAGGGGACTCTAATCTCCTTCCTTAGGGAACCCTTCTGATGCATGAATGGAGGCTCCCCAACTTAGCCTCTGCTTTCCATGAGGCAAGGCCCACTGACTCACAGGCCATTGCCCCTCCCTCTGGCAGTGGTGCTGTCAGCCCAGGTCCTTCCAGCACAGAGGTCATTCATGTTGCCTGCCTTCCATTAACTTACCTGCACACCTTCTCAGACCTTCTTCTGCTATGTGACCAGCAGTTTTAAAGTCTTTCACATACTGTTAGCTTTTTTTTCATTGTCAACTCTTTTATTCTAAGAATTTTGACAGGTTAGATAAATTAATCAATTGAAAAAGAAGAAAAAAAAAATCACGACCTGAATAGTTGCAGAAAAATAATTTACTAAAACTTAATATGGTTTTCTCTCAGCTTTATGAAGTATGATTGACAAAAATGGTATACATTATTTATTTTTTAAACATATTTATTTACTTGGCTGTGTTGAGTCTTAGCTGTGGCATACAGGATCTTTAGTTGTGACACGTTAAAGTTTAGTCACGGCATGTGGGATCTAGTTCCCTGACCAGGGATTGAACCTGGGTCCCCTGCATTGGCAGTGGAAAATCCTATATACAGGATCACCAGGGAAGCCCCCCAAATTGTATATATTTGTACCATATGATATCTTGATAACTGCATTCATTGTGAAATAATAATCACAACCAAACTAATTAACATATCTACCATCTCACATAGTTATCTTTTTTGTTTGTTGTGAGAACACTAAAACTTTAATTTTAGCAAAATTTAAGTATACAATACAGTATTATTAATTATGATCACCGTGCTATACATTAGGTCTTCAGAACTGATTCATCTTATAACTGAAAGCTTGTACAATTTGACCAACATGTACCACATTCCCCCATTCTCTTCCCCCGCTAACCATCATTCAACTCTTTGAATTCAACTTCTTTTTTTTACTGTAAGCTTTCATATGTAGAATGGATAAACACTGTATAGCATAGAGAACTGTATTCAATATCCTACGATAAACCATAATGAAAATATTTTTAAAAAAGAAAGTGGATCAAACTTGGGTCTCCTGCATTGCAGGAAGATTCTTTACCATCTGAGCCACCAGGGAAGTCTCTGTAACCCAAACTGTGTGTGTGTTAGTCACTCAGTCGTGTCCAACTTTGTGATCTCATGGACTGCAGCCCACCAGGCTTCTCTGTCCCTTGTATTCTCCAGGCAAGAATATTGTGTGGGTAGCCATTCCTTTCTCCAGGGGATCTTCCCAACCCAGGGATCAAACCCAGGTCTCCCCACATTGCAGGCAGATTCTTTACCATCTGAACCACCAGGGAAGCCCAACACAAACCATAATGGAAATAAATATTTTTTAAAAAAAGAATGGATCACTTTACTGTACAGCAGTGGTTAAAACATTGTAAATCAACTACACAATAAAAAAAGAACTAAAGTCCTTCATGTAAACCCTGCTGGTGATATTACCAATGGTGTGGCTGGGGCTCTGTAGCAACAAGACTCCAGGAACAGGTGCCACCTCAGAGGTCTGTGGGAAAAGGAAAACCAAACAGTGGAGTGGGATGGCAGACAGAGGGAGAGGGGAGACTGGGGAAGCTAGAGAGTAGAAACTGCCATGGGCCTTTCTGCTCTGGGATGCTATGAGAGTGAAAGGAGAGGGATGTAGCCTCTAGAAGAAGATGGGGAGCAGAAAGCAGATGTTTGGAAGTTGGAGGCAGAGGGAGGAGCTGATTTTTCTTTATAGAGCATCCATCTCACCTTGGAGACTTCACAGCCCTCTGAGTTGGATTGGTTTCTTCCATTGTTCAAGTGAAAAAATTAAGGTTCAGCGAGTTACATAATCTGCCTAAAGTCCCACAACTAAATAGAGGAGAAATATGGGGAGACTTGTATATTTCCCAAGATGAATCAGCTACCCTGATTCTCATATTCTCAGGCTCTATGATTCTCATATTACATTACCACAGCTCCCCAAGGGGCATCAGGAGTGAGGAGGGAACAGCCCTTGCTTGAACTGGGGCTGGATGGGTATGGGGAGGGATCGATGAGACAGCCCCATCGCTGTGGTCTTAAAGATGTTATTGACTCAGTGACAGTCACCAACTGACCTCCTGGGAACTCCACCTGAGGTCTCAGAGCTGGAAAAAGGTGTCCTAGGTGTGGCTGGAGTTAAAAGGCAGCCAGGTGTGCATGCCAGTTAGGAAAGTGCACTGTGTTTGTTCCTCTGTTTTGTGGACCTGATGTTCCAGGTCAAAGGGAATCAGGAACAGGTTTGGGAAGAGAAAAGGAAAACACATCTGAGAGTTCTTATAGATTTCCCTTTGTTTGGGCCAAATCACTGAAACCCAACTCAGCTCCCACACAATGCATGGCTCTATTCCTGGCTCTAAACAATGCAAAACTCAGAAGCTGCTTCCTCTGGGACCCTTTGACCCTGTCCTCTTGGAGGACTGTGAGTCCAAGCAAGGGTCAACACCACTACAAGCAATGCTGCCTGTTAAAATTAGAAGCAACTCTCACATGTGGCTATGACTGAAAAGAAGCCAGGCACTGGAGCTTGCAAGTACCTGAAAAAAATAGACTTCAGGCAATAACAGATGTCAGGCCTGATACGTGGAGTTCTAACTCTACTGCATCACTCCGCATGTCTTTATCCCTCTGCAGGTGGCCCCCACTGCTGTGGAAAAGTGATGGACTTCTCAGTCTTCCTGAACTCCTACCAGAGAGGACATCTGCCCAGCAGTCTCTTCTTCCTCACTCACCTGCTCCTCCTCCTCCAGCCCAGGGCAATGTGCTCAGGTAACATGTCTAATCTGCATCCCAGATAGCCAGGACCTCAGTGAGCACATCAGCTTCTGCCCACCCCTTCTGCAGGTTATTCCAGGACTGAGATCTTGCAGCCTTTTCCTAGGCTGTCTCAGGTGCTAAAAAAATAAGCCCTCCATCCCAGTTGTTAAAGAGTCACTGACTCTGAGCATCCAGCCCCTCAGTGCTCCTCCACCATCCTTTCAGGGCCCCCCCAACCCCAACAACTCCCCAGAAGGCATGGCGGGAGGGTGCCAGGAAAGTCTTATTGGTCTGTACTTAGGCTGAACCAGTTGGAAAATATTTTTAACTCCTCTCCTGTGATATAAGCCATAGCTTTTGAAGAGCAGAAAGGATCCTGGTCATACCATCTCTCATGAAAGAAGCAACTAACAGAGAATGTAAACTAATTATGCAAATAGAATTCCCCAACTCCCTGAGCTGGAAACCAGGGATACCAAAGTGATAAACAACGCACAGCTCAAATTCTCAGTCAGTTCAAGGAAGGTGAACAGACATGATATACATGACTGTCCAGCTGTGTGACCAGAGCTGCAAGAGAAACGTACCCAAGGATCTGGGATCACAGCTAAGAGACCAATTTGTTTTTTCCAGAAAGCCAAGAAGGGCCATAGAGAGGAGGTACTGTATGAGACAGGAGACAGTCTGTATGAAGATGAGAGACGGAGAGTAAACTGAGGCAGGGTATGCCCAGGAAAAGGGCCAGGCATCAGGCATGGGAGCAGAGACAGCTGGAGAGAACCTGAAGAGGGAAGCTGGTAGGAGCGGTGTCCAGGCTACACCCGGTAGGCAACAAGGGGTCTCATATGGAGAGAAGAAAGGTGCTCCCATGCTAGACGGGCAAAGTGAAGGATGGGAGGAATTCATAAAGGAAGAATTGGGGGTGGGATTAAGCTGAGCTTTGAAAGAAGGAAAGGAGGGGCACAGAAGCCAGAAAAAAACGATGAAGGCATGCTGGGTGAAAAGGCATGGCAGCAGGAACAGCAGCTCTCATGGAAATTGCAGAAAACAGGGAGTAAAGCAGCCATGTGGAGACATCACTGCAGAGGACAATCAAATGAAAGATCCAGATAAATAAAAATCTCAACAGCAGGGTTTGATCTTAGATAGGAAAACCCATGAGGCAAGAAGCACCCCACCGATTATTTTAATATTCTTTGTTATTATAGAAGCTGTGTGTGTACATTATAAAATATTAGAAAATCAGACAAAGCAAAAATAAGAAAACATCTATTTGCACCATGCAGAAATGATCACCATCAATAATTTGGTCTTTCTTCTTTCAGATCTTTTATTCTGCACATTTATGCAAATACATCAATTTTTATTCACATAAGAGGATAGTGTACATTTTTTTTTCTGCCAAAGATTCCATTTAATTTAACGTCCTGGCCATATTGAGACAACCGTCCCCTGAATAATATTGGCAGCTGGTTGGTTCAAACCAGCTACCAGTAGCCCACCACACATATGTATCTGGTTGTAATGTGTTTTGTGTAGTTTTTAACGTGGCATATCCAACTATTTCATGACAATTACTCGTTCAAGAAACGGGATTGGTTGTTCTGTAGAGTGTTTGACCTTTGTCATTTGAATAGTTCACTGTGGATTTCTGAGCTGCAAAAAACAAATAAACATATTTTTGAGTCATTAAATTACATGGAACTGTTGGCAAAACAAAAACAAACGACCACAAAACATATGTACACTATCTTATTTGAGGAAAGTTAATCTGGGCCACTGTCTGGGATCTTGTCCTAGAGGAGATCAGGGTGGTAGGCCATGAGGAACCCATTCTGGCACACGTCGGGGATGAAGTGGAATTCTCCTGCCACCTGTCACCATATCACGACGCCGAGCACATGGAGATCCTCTGGTTCCGGAGCCAGGCCTCGAACGTGGTGCACTTGTACCGGGAGCAGCAGGAGCTCTATGGCTGGCAGATGAAGCAGTTCCAGAACAGGACCCAACTCATCACGGACGATATCGCAGACGGCAGCGTGACTCTGCGGCTCCGCCGCGTGGTCCCCGCCGACGAGGGTCTGTATGGGTGCCGCTTCTCCAACGACTTCACTGGGGAAGCGACCTGGGAGCTGGAGGTAGCAGGTGCGTGACCTGGTCAATCCCCAACACAGAGGGGAGAAGGATCCATTTGGAAAGAGCTCAAGAGAAGATAGATTGAAAAGCACAGAGAAAGGGAAATTTTCTCTAATTAAAAAAAAAGAGTATTAAAAAAGATTCATTAGGAAATGAACCCCCCAAATGCACACATAATGGCCCTTAAACAAATGAAAAGACAATTATTTTACTCACAGTGAGGAAAAGGCAAATTAAAACTACAGAGAGGTAATTTTTCCCTATCAGACTGACAAACATTCAATAGTTGGACTACCCACTCGATGGAGGAAGCAGGCCCCTTCTTACCATGCTGATGGAATTCAAAATCCTGAGCTCCAGGGTAGGGGGGATTTGGCAATAGCTAACAGGACTTCCTTTGTGTCTGCCTTTGAACAGCAATTCCACTTCTGGGAATTGACCCTGGAGATATACCTCCCCCAACTCCAATAAGAAAGAAAGGCATTTGTATAAATTTACATTGTATAGCAGTGTTGCTGCTGTTCAGCCCCTAAAGCCATGTCCAACTTTTTGTGACCACATGGCCTACAGCACATGAGGCTCCTCTGTCCTCCTCAAATTCACGTCCATTGATTCACTGATGTCCTATAACCAACTCATTCTGTACCACCCCCTTCTCTTTCCCAGTCTTTGCCTTCAGTCTTTCCCAGCATCAGGGTTTTTTCCAATGAATCAGCTCCTAGCATCAGGTGGCCAAAGTATTGGAGCTTTAGCTTCAGCTTCAGTTCTTCCAACAAGTACTTAGGGTTGATGGGAAACTCCCCAAATGTCCAAGCATAGGTGCTGAGTAAGGTCTATATGAAGCTATGTAGCCTAAAAAAAAGAGAGAGAGAGAGAGAGAAAATGAGGATGAGCGCTAAGCTGATGTGGAGTGATTTCTAGGGTGTTTTTAAGAGAAAAAAGCAAGACACAAAAGAAGCTCTATAGCATATTAATTTTTGTGTAAGAAAGGAGGAGAAACATATCACAAAAGAAACACAGGAAGCTAATGAAATTGGTTACTTAAAGGAGAGGGAGCAATGAGATGCAAAGGATGGAGAAAGGCCGGGGCTTTTTTGATCTACTCTTTTTATAGCATTGATGTTTAAACCATATTAATATTTTGCATATTCAAAATATAAAGCTAGGTTACTTGGGTAGAGATATTTTAAAAAGTATGCATAACAAAGATACTTTAGTTCTGGCGGGATTCAAGAGACAGAGAAGACAATCTATTGAAATTTGGGATGGGATTACTCTTCAACCTAGGGGGATGGTCCCTTGCATTATATGGCTTAATACCAGCAGCCTTTCCCTATTTTAAGATGCCCTTCAGAGGTAGTGCTGTCCCTACATGCCATCTACAGTTTAGCCTGTCATTTATAGTCCATGGTGGACTGCAAGCCCACATGTGTTGAGTGGTCACAGTCACCATGCCTTATGGTGACTGCAAATGGTGAATGGTGGCGAACTTCATGTACATCTGGGAAAGAGCCTGATCTTTCCTACTCTTCCTGCCTCTCCCAGGACTGGGCTCAGACCCTCATATCTCCATTGAGGGATTCAAGGAGGGAGGCATTGAGCTAAGGTGCCACTCCAGTGGTTGGTACCCCAAGCCACAGGCTCAGTGGAGAGACCATCAAGGACGATGCCTGCCCCCGGAGACTGAAAACATCACTGAGGATGTCCAAGGCCTGTTCAGTCTGGAAACATCTGTGGTTGTCCAAGAGGGGGCCCACAGCAACGTGTCCTGCTCCATCCAGAACCACCTCCTAGGCCAAAAGAAAGAGTTTGTGATCCACATAGCAGGTCAGTGGGTGCCAGCTCACCCTCATCTTCTTAGTCTTCAAGTTCTCCATGTCCATTATCCCTATGTGTGTGTGTGCTCAGTCACTTCAATCACGTTTGACTCTTTACAACCCCTTGGACTGTAACCTGCCAGGCTCTTCTGTCCATGGAATTCTCCAGGCAAGAATAGTGGAGTGGGTTGCCATGTCCTCCTCCAGGCCATTATCCCCAAACCATCTATTAGGACACAAGGGCTCTGGAGCTTGGTTGTGTACAGGGCAGGCTGAACTTGACAACTGAAGCCATAATATTTAAAACCTACTAAGAGTACAGTAATTGGGGGAGGTTCCAGAAAGCCAATATTATTAGAGAGCATCAAAAGAACCTGCATGTTCCTAATTTTATCCCTCAAACAATATTTATTGAGCACTCACAATATTCCCCAAACCCCTGCCCTCAGGTGCACATCCCATGGGGGAAACAGATACACAAAAGAGTAAATTATAGCACATGTTCAGAGGTGTTAGGTGATACAGAGAAACATGAAGCAGGTAAGAGTGCTAAGTATGGTGGGTTGTATATATATACATGGGTTTAAAAGTGGTGAATCACCAGCCCATGTTGGGTGCATGAGACAAGTGCTCGGGCCTGGTGCACTGGGAAGACCCAGAGGGATCGGGTGGAGAGGGAGGTGGGAGGGGGGACCGGGATGGGGAATACATGTAAATCCATGGCTAATTCATTTCAGTGTATGACAAAAACTACTGTAATGATGTAAAGTAATTAGCCTCCAACTAATAAAAAAAATAAAATAAAAATAAAGATTATGTCTTAAAAAAAAAAAAAGTGGTGAATCAGGAAAGAAGACCGTTAGGCAATGAGTTGAAAGTGAGGCCATTATCTAGCATCAAAGTTTTATTATGAGGCCCCCACTGATGGATTTAATGTTCATAGGGATATATATGTGTGTGACACATAGTTCACCCAAAATTCACCTGGTAATTGGGTAACTGGTAACATCTGTGTTAGCTAATTGCCTTTATGCAAAGGAGAAAGATATCTCTTATCTCGATGACAAGCATGTAGCTACAACTTGGAGCCAGGTGCCTAAGTGAAACTCCCAGGAGGCCTGGAGATAGGAGTGCTTTCTTCTTGATGTTTCCATTTCAAAGAGATGGCTCTGAGCTCCTTAAGAAAATCATTCCTGGATTGTAAAGCTTGAAGAGCCTTATATAACTTTCAGAAAGATTTATATACATCTTGAAGGAATGTGCGTGCTAAGTCACTTCAGTCGTGTCTGATTCCTTTTGACCCCATGAACTGTAGTCTGCTGGGCTCCTCTGTCCATGGGATTTTCCAAGTAAGAATACTGGAGTGGGTTGCCGTTTCCTCCTCCAGGTGATCTTCCCGACCCAGGGACTGAACCCAGGTCTCTTGCATCTCCTGCACTGGCAGTCAGGTCCTTTTTTTTTTTAACCAGTTTTTTTTTAAATTAATTAATTAATTTTAATTGGAGGATAATCACTTTACAATATTGTGATGTTTTTGCCACACATCAGCATGAATCAGCCACAGGTATACATGTGTCCCCCCCATTCTGAACCCATCTCCCTCCCCACCCCATCCCTCTGGTTGTCCCAGAGCATCAGCTTTGGGTGCCCAGCTTCATGCATCAAACTTGCACTGGTCATCTATTTTACATATGGTAATGTACATGTTTCAGTGCTATTCTCTCAAATCCCACCCTCACCTTCTCCCATTGAGTCCAAAAGTTTGTTCTTTACATCTGTGTCTCCTGTATACAGGATCAACATTACCATCTTTGTAAATTCCATATATATGCATTAATATACAGTATTTGTTGTTTTTACTTCACTCTGTATAATAGGCTCCAGGTTCATCCACCTCATTAGAACCGACTCAAATGCATTCATTTTATAGCTGAGTAATATTCCATTGTGCATATGTACCAAAACTTTTTTATGCATTCATCTACTGATGGACATCTAGGTTGCTTCCATGTCCTAGCTATTGTAAACAGTGCTGCAGTGAACGTGTGCAGGGTACGTGTGTCTCTTTCAATTCTGGTTTCCTCAGGTTTCCTCTGGTTTCCACTATGCCCAGTAGTGGGATTGCTGGGTCATATGGCAGTTATATTCCCATTTTTTTAAAGGAATTTTCACACTATTCTCCATAGTGACTGCACCAGTTTGCATTCCCACTAACAGTGCAAGAGGGTTCCCTTTTCTCCACACCCTCTCCAGCATATATGGTTTGTAGACTTTTGATGATGGCCATTCTGACTGGTATGAGATGATACCTGATTGTGGTTTTGATTTGGATTTCTCTAACAACGAGTGATGTTGAGTATCTTTTCATGTGTTTATTAGCTATTGGTATGTCTTCTTTGGAGAAATGTCTGTTTAGGTCTTTTGCCCACTTTTGATTGGGTTGTTCGTTTTTCTGGTATTGAGATGCATGAGCTGCTTATATAGTTTGGAGATTAATTTTTTGTCAGTTATTTCATTTGCTATTATTTTCTCTCATTCTTTGGGCTGTCTTTTCACCTTGCTTATAGTTTCCTTCTTTGTGCGAAAGCTTTTAGGTTTAATTAGGTCCCATTTGTTTATTTTTGTTTTTATTACCATTACTCTGGGAGATGGGTCATAGGGGATCTTGCTGTGATTTATGTTAGAGAGTGTTAGCAGTTGAGTTCTTTGCCACTAGTGTCACCTGGGAAGCACTTGAACGGATAGAGAAAGAATTTATAAATTTTCTAAAGGACCAGTCTAAGAGAAGGGAAACGGGAATCTTGCTCACTTTTTTGCACAAATTTTTAAATTTGTATTTAACCTTGATAAAGGGTGTTGGTCACATGGATTTCTGCAAGGAGACCATTTAGGTAGAGGGAACAGCAAGTGCAAAGGTCCTGAGGTGGAAATGTGTGTGGAAATTGGAGGAGCTGAAAAGATACAGGAAAGGCTGGAACGGAGAGCAAGATGGAGATCACAGATCATCAAGGCATAGGCCTCTGAGCTCTTTACCTCCTAGGTCAGTGCTTCAAAAACCATCTCTGGTGAAGGACCAGTCCTTTGTGGCTCAATACTTTTACCAAGATAATAAAAACACACTGCTAAAAAAAGAAAATTAAAAACCAACCAAAACAACACATTATGTTAAGTGAAATAAAAATGAACACAAAGGGACAAATATTGTATGATTCTATTTATATGAGGTACCCAGCATTGTCAATTCATAGAGAGGAAAAGCAGAATAGAAGTTACCAGTGGCTGGGGTGGGAAGATTGGGGAGTTAGTGTTTAATGGGTACAGACTCTCAGTTTGGGACAATTAAAAAAAGTTCTGCTGGTGTTGGTAGCACAGCTATGTTGGTGTACTTTTTTATTTTTTATTTTATTTTTTTGGCCACGCCACATGGCTTGCAGGATCTTAGTTCGTCAACCAGGGATTGAACTCAGTGGACTGCCAGAGAATTTCCAGTGTTAATGTACTTAATGCCACTGAACTATAAACTTAAAATGGTTAAAATAGTAAATTTTATGTTATGTTTATTTTACTGCAATAAAAAAGAAAAAATGAAAGACCATTGAGATAAAAGCACCAATTTCTTTATCTTCAACAGGCATAAAATTATTCTGTTAAATTTCAACAAGAGTTTCTAGAGGATTGCTCTGTTTTGCATGTATTTCTTTACTGTCTGGCCACTGTCTTTGTAAGCTCTGCACCACACTCTGCTTCTGGGCAGATCCTCCTTAGGACTCCTGGAGTGGGAAGAGGGGAACTGTCAGTCAGCCCTACATGGCTTTGCTAACATTTCTTGCAAAGGTGTGATGAGAAGTAGAACCAGGTGCTTTCATGAAGGGCGAGATGACACATGGATTCGTCAGAGCAATCAGTTCAGTTCAGTTTAGTCACTCAGTCATGCCCAACTCTTTGCGACCCCATGGACTGTAGTATGCCAGGCTTCCCTGTGCATCACCAACTCCCAGAGCTTACTCAGACTCATGTCCCCCAAGTCGGTGATGCCTTCCAACAATATCATCCTCTGTTGTCCCCTTCTGCTCCCTTCAATCTTTCCCAGCATCAGGGTCTTTTCAAATGAGTCAGTTCTTTGCATCAGATGGCCAAAGTATTGGAGTTTCAATGTCAGCATCAGTCTTTCCAATGAATATTCAGGACTGATTTCCCTTAGGATGGACTTGTTGGATCTCCTTGCAGTTCAAGGGACTCTCAAGAGTCTTCTCCAACACCACAGTTCAAAAGCATCAGTTCTTCAGCACTCAGCTTTCTTTATAGTCCAACTCTCACATTCACACATGATTACTGGAAAAACCATAGCTCTGACTAGATGGACCTTTGTTGGCAAAGTAAGGTCTCTGCTTTTTAATATGCTGTCTAGGTTGGTCATAACTTTCCTTCCAAGGAGCAAGCATCTTTTAATTTCATGGCTGAAGTCATCATCTGCAGTGATTTTGGAGTCCAAAGTTATAAAGTCTGTCACTGTTTCCATTGTTTCCCCATCCATTTCCCATAAAGTGATGGGACCAGATGCCGTGATCTTAGTTTTCTGAAATGTTGAGTTTTAAGCCAACTTTTTCACTCTCCTCTTTTACTTTCATCAAGAGGCTTTTTAGTTCCTCTTCACTTTCTGCCATAAGGGTGGTGTCATCTGCATATCTAAGGTTATTGATATTTCTCCCAGCAATCTTCATTCCAGCTTGTGCTTCATCCAACTCAGAATTTTGCATGATGTACTCTGCATATAAGTTAAATAAGCAGGGTGACAATATACACCTTTGACATTCTCCTTTCCCAATTTGGAACCAGTGTGTTGTTCCATGTCCAGTTCTAACTGTTGCCTCTTGACCTGCATACAGATTTCTCAAGAGGCAGGTCAGGTGGTCTGGTATTCTCATCGCTTTAAGAATTTTCCACGGTTTGTCAGAACAATAGGTAGCAATTATTCACTGGGTTTAAGATATCAACACCTTGATTTCTAATGTTCTTAGATGTAAAGCAAGAGTGAGAAGAAGTAGAAGGAGGTCAGGGCTGTGGTCACATAAGTTCTAAGATGAAGGACTGGGCAGAGCCCATCAGCTCCTTCCTTTTAGATCCCTCAGTTTGCAGTATTTTCCCCTCTGTGCTGAGCAAGTTCAAGTTCCCACTCTTCCTCAGATGCTACCTCTCCTGAGCACCATGTAATGGACCTCATGCCCATTTTACAGATGGCTGTGGTGGGGTGCGTGATTCCCACGTGGCTCAGTGGGAAAAGATCTGCCTGCCATGCAGGAGACACATGAAATGTGGGTTCAATCGCTGGATACGAAGATCCCCTGGAGGAGGGCATGGCAACCCACTCCAATATTCTTGCCTGGAGAATGCCATGGACAGAGGAGCCTGGTGGGTTACACTTGATGGGGTTGCAAAGAGTTGAACACATGGCTGAAGTGACTAAGCACGCACACACACTTGGTAGGGCCCAGAAGGGCCAACCAGTCGCTAGAAAGATTTTTGGGCACACGGTGTCCGGACCAGTCTTCTCACTTAGTATTTAGTGATGAGTGGGCTGTTTTCCAGATGCGTTTTTACCCGGAACCTCTCCCTGGAAGAGAGCTTTCCTTGGGACTCTGGTGGGCCTGCTGCTCCTTCTGGCTTTCCTCATGATGCTGCTGTTGCACTTCTTTCAGAAGCAACGGAAGTCCCAAGGTACCAGGCAGTCAGGGGGCTGCCCTCCTGGAACTGGCTTTGCCCAGGAGAAAGGTGGTGGAGGCGGCCATGGTGGTGGGGCGGGGAAGGCCACTGCTGAGGGGCCATCTTGCCCGGAGGCCGGGCTGGAATGGGACTCGGAAAACAGGCAGAGGAGCACACGCACTGACCTCTACTCCCCTTTTTCCTTCCTTTCAGAAAAGCTGAAGAAGCAGGTAGAGAAAGACAAAGGTAAGCAGGAGGAAAGACGAGCTTTTCACCCACATCTCTGACTAACAGAAGTGGGGGCACTGGGTCAAGAAGACAAGTAGATCACAGGGGGTTTGGGGAGTTTGGGAGAGGGCAGAGAAGGATTGAGGCACAGGTTTATTTTCACTTCTCTTGCCTTGGAGCTTGTTCCTCCCCCGTGTTCAGCTCAAACTGGCTCTCCAGAGCATGTGGGTTCCAAGTCTGTGCACTTGGGAGAAGCAAGCCCTCAGTGATGAATGGCAATTTTTCTCTATTCTTTGTTTCTTTCTCCAGGGAAACTCACAGTGGAGCTGGGTAAGTTCTGGGTGCCATGCCCATTGTGCTGGCCGTGGGCTAGGGGGGTAACTCATGGCAGAAGCAGGGGTTCAGTGATTTTAGGCCCCCTTTGGAGAGCACTGAATCACAGTGATCTAATTCTATATCCAGCCCTCTGCACATCCTGCCTTTCCCCTCCCAAATAGATGTGTGCACACCTGCCAAGGAAGTATGACTTAAGATTTTCTAGATAGATTTTGCCAGGCCCTCTCCTGCAAATTATATGATTCAGTTACAGTTCCACAGTTAAAGGTCTCCTCCTTCTGGTTCATCTTCCTAGGATAGCCTTCTCTTTTTAAAGCAAATGTCACCGAGAAAGACGGCATCTGTAATTTACCAAAGTGAAAGTAATTTATCAAATCCACTTTTCTCCCCTGGGGGACTCAGCACCTTGAAACCATGTTGAGGGAGGAGGAAAGAGTGAATTCAAAGGATGAGGGGATGGAGGAGAAGGCCACAATGGGTAGGGGAAGACCTTGAGAACCACTTTGTCTGCCCCAGGAAAACACCAGACAAAATAGTGAAGTAGAAGCTTGTCTTGCAGTCTACCTAGTCATGCAGGGGAAAACAAACAAAATGCAATTAACCAAACAACAACAAAACAGCATGATAAGTCATTAACACCATGGTCTGAATTAATGTATATTATTGCCTTTCCTAGTCTTAACTTTTAAAAGATGGCATAGAGTAGAGAATTCAGAGGAATGCATTTCTGGTGGCAAAATATCAGAGTCTTGGAATCTGGCCAGGGGAAATAATTGAGTGTGATACCCACCCAGTTTCTTAAATAATGTAACCAGTAAGTGACCTTGAGGTTCATGCAGGAGGTGCCCAGTGCTGGGACTTACACAGAACTTCCTCCCTAGGAAAAGCTTGCAGTTTCAGAGCAAATGTTTTCCCTTCCCAGCCCTGTGCAGATTTCTGCCGTAGAGCAAAGAGTAGGATGAGGAGTAAGAATCTTGCAGATGGGTGATGCAGCACTTAAACAGGATTGGAATGAGTAGTAGTTTAAGACTATGAAACCTTGTCTCAGTGACCTAACTGCCTCGCGAAGGTGGTTTCACTCATCCAAAGGCTGATATTTTCTCTGTGGGTTCTGCTTACAGGGAAGCTTCAGGTAGAGCTGGGTAAGTGACTCTCCTCCACCCAGAACTATTTCTTCTTGTCTACCTTGTAGCATCTGGTTATATGTGAATGTTCTTCTGATCTCCCAAGCAGGTATGATGGCCAGATTGGAACCCTGCTGGCTGTGTGGGTGGCAGGAGAAAGGGGAGTGGAGCAGGGGTGGGTGCAAAATTTGATGTGTGAACAAGGAGGCTGAAGGGACTTTGTTCTAATTCTGCTTTTCCTTGGCTACTTCAGACTGGAGAAGGGCTGAAGGCCAGGCTGGTGAGTGAAGCCTATGTTTCTCCCACTGTACACTTTATATCTATCTCAGCATCCTAGTCACCTGCTCTAACCAACTATGCTTCATTCTGATTTATGCCATTGCTACACACATGTATTAATCTATGTCACTCGGAATAGGTTATATTTGACTTTGACTTTTATATTTATTTTTACATTGTTCTGAGGTGTAAGCATACAGTAAATCATTGGTGCCAATCCTGGTTGCACATCAGAATCACCTAGATTCCTGGTGCTTGCCCTCAAAGACTCTCACCTGTGGTTCTGGAATGGGCATGTTATCTTACACGTAAATATTTGTCCCTGTACCTTCTTCCATTTCCCCAGTAAAGCAACCACTAATGTGCATCTTTATTTTGTATGTATTCTTGCAAGAGGAGGAATTTCTGTTTTGTGTGCATACACTGTAGTTACTGTAGAGGTATTTACTGTCTCATGCTCTTCCTTGCTTTTCTCACTCATCACTGTGCTTTAATATCCATCCCTGCTGCCACATGTAAATCTAGTCTGTATCTCCTTGCTGCAGAACACTCCATTTCAGTCAGCCACCCTCCTGGAGTAGACATCCAGCCTTCTTCTAACTCCATATCATTACAGACCATTAGTGCTGAATAAATTGTCTTCTGTGTGGAGATTTCTCTAAGAGGAGAAGTGCTGGCCCACTAGGGATGTCTCACTAAGTGGGATAGAGGGATTCCTGAAAGTAGCACCATCATCCCATGCCAGCAGTGCATGGAAGCTCCATGAGCCCACATCTCATGTGAGCCAGCTTTCTAAGCTTGCCAGTCAATGGAGATGAGTAATTATTCTTTGAGTTTGTACTCATCTGAGCACTAAGAAATCTGAGCATCTCTTTATATGCTAGCTGGCTTTTGGGCTTCCTCTTCTGGAAATTGCCAGTTCACGTCCTTTGTCTATTTTCCATATGTTGTTGCTATCTTTTTCTTGTTGATTCACAGAACAGGGCTGGTGTCAGTGCTGGGGAATGGAGCCTTTTGGCTTGCAGGCATCCTTCATGCAATATTATTATTATTATATAATATATATGATAGTAATCTCTCATTGTTATTACACACTGTGAATTCCTTCTTCTCTTCTGTCATCTGCTATTAGCTTTGTCCAATGGTGCCCCTTATTGAAAAGAATTAGTTCTGATGAAATATAATTTATCGCACTTTTACTTTATGGTTTGTGTCTTTGAACTTTTGTTGAAGATCTTCTTCACATTTATGTCATAAATCTAGTCTCCTACATTTTCTTCTACTCACTTTATATGTTATGTGTAACTTACTTATGTGTAAGTTTTCTTATCCATCTAGAATTCACCTTTTTTATGTGGTGTTAGATAAGAATCCAGTAATTTTTCTCATATAAAGAGTTAGCTTTCCCAGTGCCACTTACTACACATATTTGTGACTTACCCATTGATGTGGACATCACCTTTAGTGCATATTCAGTTGCCATGTCTTGATGGGTCTGCCTCTTGGTAATCTATTACCTTGGCTTTTAAAGTATCTGAAAGTACAAGTTCTCCTCCATTCCCCTTTCCTTTTTAAAGTTCACAGACCCTTTTAAAATATAAATTTTAGGATAAATTTATGAAGTTCCCCCAAATATCCAAAAGTAGTTTTAGCTGGGGTTGGTTTGAATTTACAGCTAAATTTAGGGAGGATTGAAATCTGTATAGATTTGAGTTATTCTATGCAAGAGCTCTAGATTTGTGAAGTTCTACTGGTTATTCTGATGCAAAATCAGGGTTGAAAGGCCCTGCTATAAATTTACGGAGCTCTGAAAACGTCTTCTACTGCTTCTGCATTTTGTGACTTTGGTACTGTTTTCTTTTTTTTTTTTTTTCATTTATTTTTATTAGTTGTAGGCTAATTACTTTACAATATTGTAGTGGTTTTTGTCATACATTGACATGAATTAGCCATGGATTTACATGTATTCCCCATCCCGGTCCCCCCTCCCACCTCCCTCTCCACCCCATCCCTCTGGGTCTTCCCAGTGCACCAGTGTAGGACTCTTTGCCACCCTATGGGCTGTAGCCGGCCAGATTCCTCTGCCCATGGGATTCTCCAGGCGAGAATACTGGAGTGGGTTGCCATGCCCCCATCCAGGGGATCTTCCCGACGCAGGAATCAACGCCTCTTGCTTATGTCTTGGGCATTGGCAGACGGGTTCTTTACCACTAACGCTACCTGGGGAGCCCTCTTGCGGTCCAGGTCTTGGGAAAAGTGAGCCCGCCTCCATCCCCACAAATCTCCCTCATTTGCTCTCTATGCTCTGTATGGCACCATGGAATTCAAGAGCCTTACGGTTCAGGAAGGAAATGAATTCCTCTTATCACTTTCAAAAGCTAGAGAGTGACTTCCGTGCCTCTTCAGTCCCAGGGTGGTAGGAGGAGGGGCTTCAGGAGAGGGGTGACTATTCCACCGATTTCTCCTTCGGCAGGACTAGAGGTCTGCCTAGCAGAGGAGGGGACAGGGATGTGGATGGGGGCAGAATTGTGCAGGCACTGACCCTGTGCCTTTGCGCAGTGGATGTGACCCTGGATCCTGGCTCCGCCCATCCCAGCCTGGAGGTTTCCAAGGATGGCAAAAGCGTGTCCTCACGCAGGACGGCGCCAGGCTCAGCGGTGGCCGACCCTCAGTGGTTCTCTGAGCAGACGTGCGTCCTGAGCCGGGAGCGCTTCTCCACTGGCCGCCACTACTGGGAGGTGCACGTGGGCCGCCGCAGCCGCTGGTTCCTCGGTGTGTGTCTGGCCGCGGTGCCGAGTGCAGGGCATGCTCGCATGAGCCCGGCCACTGGCTACTGGGTGATGGGGCTGTGGAACAGCTGTGAGTACTTCGTCCTAGACCAGCACCGCCTCCCGCTCAGCCTGCGCGTGCCGCCCCGCTGCGTGGGCATCTTTCTGGATGTTGAGGCTGGAAAGCTGTCCTTCTTCAACGTGTCCGACGGCTCCCACATTTTCACCTTCACTGACACCTTCTCGGGGATGCTCTGCGCGTATTTCAGGCCTAGAGCCCACGATGGCAGCGAACACCCAGATCCGCTCACCATCTGCCCATTACCAGTTGGTGAGAAATGCGTTCTCGAAGAGGAGGACAGTGACGCCTGGTTTCAACCCTCTGAGTCCTCGAACCCTGCCCTGGGGTGAAGTGCTTTTGTGGCCACTGGACTGGGTCCTGGGCGGCTTCCTGGATACCCAGCTGGCGCTATGCTCTCCTGCTTCCTGTAAAGCCAACAGACACACTCACCCCACTGTCTGCTCCAGAATGTCGGCAAAAGCTTAGAGGCAGAAAGGGGGCAAAGAGAGACCTTTGCCTATGTAGATGTGAATGTGTACATGTATGAATATGATTTTCTCTTTTTTTTTTTTAAAGAAAGACACTTCCAAAGCTTATGTGTGTATGTTGTAGGATTGAGCAGATGAGTAACCATATGTTCATGTTGCTAGGAGTCAGTGTTCACTGTGAAGACATGAAAGAAACTGGATGGGGGGGAAAAGAGGAGATAATTTATCAGATAAGATTAGGGGTGTCAGTTAATTTCTGTATTTTAATATTTTTGTATGTATTTTCTAGCTCTAGAAAGGTCTGGAAACAATGACACTTCATAAGCAATAAGTTCACCTTAGGCTCAGATGCTAGTTCTCACTGCCAATTAGCACCAAAATAAACTTGGAGATGTGGTGAAAGTAGGGAACATCTTTTGCTTTTATGTACAAGAATGCTCGAAAACGGATGGGGACATAGCAAAAAGACATTGGAGCTAGGTGAAAGGGGTGCCATTGACCAGTTATAGGACAATTTGAACATTAAAATGAATAATGACAAGAATTGCCCAACAAGAGGTCAATTCACTAAGTGTGCTGAGAGGTTTCTTTAGCCAGAGACAAGAGATACAAAAAGAAAAAAAAACCCACAAAACAAACAACAAAATATAAAAACATAAAACAAGACATAAGGGAAAGGAGAGAATGAAAGAATAATTGTGAACTCGAGGGTTTTACTATGTAATAGGTGTATATTGTTGATAAATAGACAGATGTGATATAGTTCGTAACTCTGTCTACACTGAGGGCTTAAAAACAATAATACCCCTGTACCAATGAGCACATCTAGCACTGAGATCTTAGTTTTTAGTTACTATTTACTACTGAAAGGAACCAAGGCTCCTTGGAGAAATGGTGGACTTCAGGGCTGGGGCAGGGAAAATACATGGTGAGATTCTGATCTATACTAGGAAATATTTATTTTGTTTTTGACCTAGATTTTAGAACAGAGCTCTTAAACTGTTGAAATTTTCTAAAATTTAAGAGTCATAAAGATGTCTTTGGATATTCATAACAAGCCCTTTTAACCACACCTGAGTTTATATTACTGAGATAATTTTTAGAAAGCCAGTAAGGATGGGGCTGGTTGCCATGGGAACCAACTATGTGACCAGAGGGTTGTAACTTAGCCCTACCCTACCCCCCTACCTTAAAGAGGGAGAAGGGGCTGGAGATTGAGTTTAATCACCAAGGGCCAATGATTTAACCAGTCATGCCTCTGTGATGAAACCTTTCCATAAAACCCCAATAGGACTCGGTTCAGAGAGCTTTCAGGTTGGTGAACACTGTAGATGCAGGGAGAGAGTTGCTCAGAGAGATCAAGGAAGAAGCTCTGTACTGCTCCCACATACCTTGTTCTATGCATCTATTCTACCTGGTTCCTGAGCTATATCACTTTATAATAAACCTGTAATCTTATTAGCAAACTTCCTGACTTCTGTGAGCTGCTCTGGTAAATTAATGGAACTCAAGGTAGGGATTTTGGGAATCTCCAACTTATAGTGAGTGGGCCAGAAGCACAGGCAACCTGGATTTGTAATTGGTACTGAAAGAGAGAGGGAAGTCTTGTAGGACTGAGCCCTTAACCTGTGGGATCTGACCCTATCTCTCGGGCTTCCCAGGTGGTGCTAGTAATAAAAAACCTGTCTGTCAATGCAGGATTGGCAATACAGTGAGAGATGTGGATTCAATCCCTGGGTTGGGAAGATTCCCTGGAGGAGGGCGTGGCAACCCACTCCAGTATTCTTGCCTGAAGAATCCCATGGACAGAGGAACCTGGTGGGCTACAGTCTATACAGTCAGAAAGAGTTGGACATGACTGGAACGACTTTGCATGCACATGCTAGGTATATAGTGCCAGAATTGAGTTAATGGATTAAGGGTGTTGAAATAAACATGTAGCAAAATGAGTCTAAACTATCTTTTACCAGAATGCAAGAAGTCCTCAAAGAATAGTGGGGGAAATGTCAACTGGACAGAAAAGCCAGTTTGAAGGGACTCCCATTAGCCAAATTTGAACATCAAAGTAATTAATGGGAGTTATAGATCGAGAAAAAAGGAATCCAAGCATATGTGTATCTTTACTGATATACATAAATAAAGGAACAAATAAATGGGGGAGAAGATAAAGTTTTACCAAATCACCCCCATCTCCTTCCAGTCTATGCCCAGTGACCCTCTGTCAAGTTTCTAAAGGTAGGACCTGGTACATTCAGTTCTTCCCTGAACTGTTCACATTTTCCATGCAGCTGTTCCTCAAACCGGGGAAAGGATGAAAACAACACTGATGTATGGGTCCCAATCCAGTGTATGAAGCACACCTGTGATGTGAGGCTCACCCTACCTGAGGTGGCCTTTGTGGTGGTTAACTCACAGACTGGCAGAGCTGAGAGCTCCTAGACTTTGACGGCAACATGCAAGTCATCCTTGTCTCCACAGGAATCTTTCATGGAAAGACAAAGGTTCCCATGGATCTGGCACAATTTTGGTGGGCTTATATATTGGTACAGCTACTTTGAGGTCAACTTTGGTAACATCAACCAATGTGGAAGACACCACACCTCTGTCCTCCACACCACTCACATCTCCCCTGAGCCAGGCCTCAGTGATGCAGGAGGTAGGACCAGGAACTCTGCGTGGCTTTGGGCAAGCAGTGAATCTGCCTGGAACTCAGTTTTCCCAGCTGTAAAATGGGGCCAGTCGTCATGCTCTGCTGTCCCCGTAGGACTGCTGAGAGGCTCTGAGGGGGCCAGTGTGAATCCATGTAGAGGAGAGGGGTGCTGGGAGGTGGTGTCACAGTTTACCTCCCACACAAGACACTGCGGCCGTCGCTGGGCCCCCTTCCTTGATCTGCCCTCACCTGAACTTCCATATTCATTAAACATGGTGCCATTACATGAAAAAAAAAATTTCTAAACATGAACGTCCTCTGACAAGCAGTTCCACATCCAGGAATCTGTTCTACAGAAATATTCACACATAATGAGGCAAGAGGATGCTCGCTGTGGCAGTGAAAACAGAGGTTTGGAAGCGTGTACTTGCTACTAGGAGAATGGAAAAATATGGCTTATTAATACTGTGGGGTACCACGGTGCTATAAATTTTTATGGTGCACATATATCTTTACAGGGAGTATATACTGCTTCTGTAATTCAAAAAAAGTTGATGAGTCTTTTCCTTCTGCCTCATCTCAATTGGCAAAAAATCACAAGAAGATATTTTTTAAATGTACAATTGAATCCATCTGGTTGAAGTGTCAACACCATGGGGGTACATGACATGTTGTCATGTCTGTTTACAGTTTTCAAATCACTGCCTTTGATTTCCTCTATGAAATCCTTCCTTATTGTTCCTCAGTAGCATCTTGAACAGAGCCCATCATATTCATACAGGTTTGATTATACTGTGCAGTTCGCAAACTCTGACCTTGTATCCAATTCTGACCCCAGCAGGTTTGGAACCTAATGTGGGGAGGGGGCCATTCTGCCTCGGAAACTTCCTATCGCTCCACTCTCAAGGCTCCTGCCTCAGTGTTGAGGCAAGAAGAAGAGACAAGAGAAATGGTGCAGCCATAACCTCCCTGAATCCACCCTATTCCTCAGTTCCCCCAGCTCTGGCTGAGCTCCTAATCCCTGCTCCATCCTGTTCATGCCAGGACAGCCCAATACTCCTTTGATTCTGGATCCCTTCACTTGGCAGACAGCACGCTTAGGAAGGATGCAGTAAAGTGACTTAATTTTGGCTAGCTTCCCAGATGTTCTTTTGACCCAGAGTAAATTCATATGTGTGTGCATATTGAGTGCAGACTGGGCATGCTCTCTTCAGGGACCACATCTCCCTGTTTCCTCTTCCTCTGGGTGGATCAAACAAGATGCTATCCTCTCAAACAAGATACTAAGCTCTTCTTGCAGTCATCACCAAAAATTGCATGATTCTTTGAGGGTTAGATGAGGGGAGTGGCAAGTACTTCCACTAGAGAGGGTTATTGCCTCTCACTATATGCTTTCAAACACCCAAAACCTTGATGACTCCCTCGCCAGTTTCCTTCCCATCCTCTATTCCCCAAAGGAAATGATCTCTTTTAACCTATAAATAAATAAATAAATAACTTATTTCATACGTTTCTTTTATTTACAGTTTATTGTCAATATGCGTTAGTTATATAAAGTGAGAAATTATGAATAATCAAAGTATAATTATGCAGATTAAAAATAGATATTAAACAAAAAAATACAACCATAAAAGCAGGTTAACTCATGCACACATAGCAGCATAGATGCAGCAGATATTTCAATGGACAGCAAGTGTTTGCTTTTTCATTTGAAGATGGTGGCCATATCATACACTAGAATGCCTCAGTTTATCAGTGCCTGAGAGTCAAAATTCATTTATAAAAATGTTTTTCACATTGACACTGTTGTAAAAGATATGTTTTCCAGAATTAAGCCTCCTCTCAGGCTTCTTACCAGTTTCTAACACCTAAAAACTGATACAGAAAGTATTATAAATGTAACTACGCTGATTCTTAAAGGTTAAAAAAGTGTCTCTCAAAATAATTTAAAAGAATTATTGCAAACAGTAATGCTGATGCTCTCCCAGACTTACTCCAGCATGAGCATCTCTGGTTCTACTTCTGCAGGCTTCGTCACACTGCCATCACTCTGCTTGCTTCCTTCCCTGGTTCTTCTACTGGTAGCTCCACCCTGGCTCCAGGCAGCTTCGTATCTTCTAACGGTGTCTGCTCCCAAAGTCTTGATCTGAGGCTCAGTCCCACATGGGCCAAGACTCAGGACACTCCCAATACTGATGAGGCTTGGGGGGCTCCTCCTCCAGCCAACAGACCCCTCTATACTGGTTGCCACAGTTCACATCAGGGTGAGCAACTCTCACCATTGCCTTCTTTCCCGGAAAGACTTTGGAGAAGATTTTGTAGACAAAGTTCCAAAACAACATTATTGCTGGCACTTCTGTGTATGTCACTGCTACTGTGTCCCTGGATGTTCTCTAGACGTTCCCTGGAGGGGGCCTTTGGAAAAGAGCAGTCAGCAAGAGACCTGGGAGAACCCTAGGACTGAGAAACAGAGATGCAGCTGGTGAGCTGGGCAGCACGGGGGACTGGTTGGAGTCTGTGGGTCCTGAATCTGGATGTAGAACATAAACCCCACACAAGATGGGGCCCACCTGCAATCTGTCTTCTACTAATCTGAAAGTCCATAACCTTATTGGAAGGCCAGGTACAGACCACGGTTCTAACTGTCACTTGTTGCTCTCAGTAGGTCAAAGGAGCATGAAAAAAAACAAACAAACAAGCAAAACAATCAGTGAAAGGAAATGAATCATTTAAGTGGAATTAGGTCCCTCTG